GGCAAAACTAAACCACAAAAATATGAGTACAATATATAAGTAAAAAAAATTGAAATAGTGATTTGTACTAGTAATAATAATTTTCAATAACATCTAAATATAGTAAAATTTTATTTAAAAGTGCTTCTGAAATGACTAAAAGCGTCTTCTAACGAACTAAGGAAGTCAACTATACCAAACACCGATGTAAGTTTCAACCAGAAACGGTTGAATATACATAATACACTACACAAATTTAATGAATGGAGGATTTGTTTTCCCAACTCCCAACGAGCAGCTAGCTCACTACTTAACCAAATCAACTTTAATGCATGGGCCTTGAAAAAGAAACCCTACTTGTTATTTGCTGACCGCGACTGATCTAATATTATATTACATTTTATTCATACATTTATTTATATAATTTCTAAAGAAATAAAATTTGAAAAAAAGAATTAAAACAATATGAAACCTTTGGCCTATCATTCATTCCTTGTTGCTCCTTCTTCTCTTTCCTTCGGCATAATTTTGGAATTTCGAAACCAATAAATAAAAATTAAAAAAAATATTATTAAAAAGATGGAACAAAAGTCAGATGCACACGTGTTAGTCTTACGTAGTCTGACTTTCAGTCACAATATGGAAAACGATTGCGGTAGCATCGTAATTATAGCACTTTGTTTTCCATATATTCATTAATGTGCGGATTTGTTTGTTAGGAAATCTTGGGTTAGATGTGGCATGCACCTATCTAATGCACATGTACAATGCAATGAAGTTATATCACGGCTTTTTTCTTTTTTGTCGGAGGAATGAACATGTCATTACCAAGTAGAGATTATTAAAACTCTTCTTTCTTGAACTGGGGAATTAAGAATTTAAATTTGAGACATTCCAAACGAAACAAATTGAAGACTTTTCCAATTGGCATGTCAAATTAATACAAGCTCTTCCTGGAAGAGACAAAAAAATCTAAGTGAAAAATGGTTCTTTCTTTAACTCTTAGAAAAATTCACAAGTTGTGGGAATTGATTTGGACGTTCAAAATGAAAGCAATCAAAATCAAATTTTCTAATCCAACTTGCACCTCTATTCACAGCTTTTAGCAACATAGCTAGTTACACATATCCAACTTTCAAAACCGATCACATGAAAACAAATAAACTCTTAGGCTAATCATACTCAAAGAAGCAAACCAAACAGGTCCTATATTGATGTATATAGTGTAGGCTTAGGGTTTTGAGTCTTCTGAAATTGACTTCCTCTAGGCTCTAGATCTCTTCCTTTAGCCAGTGATTGAGCTAAAAGCTTGCAGCGGGTAGCTAGGGTTGTTATATACATAGGCAGCACTTTATTTTGTTAATTATTTGTGAGTTTCAAACAGTTTGGCAAAACTTTCAAGTGCTAGCAGACAGCAGATGCATAGGGGTGGGGCAAGTTGGCTTCGTTTGTTTTTCAGATTCTTATCATGATCATATATGTAGGTGGAAAGAGTGCGTCAAATTAAATATGCAGAAAAATATGTTGCAGATGGGTCCCTCAGGTGGGGGCCCTTTTGAAGTTTGGATAGATAGAAGATGCACTGAAATTAAACCCAGGTCACATACATACATACAATCTTGCCAGCAAACGACATGTAGCACTGCTACCATTCAGAGTTTCACATCGGTCCCTAGTGTCATTTTCTTCTTTAGTGACCACCAAAAATATTATTGCACGTCTTGTTCAGTAACAGAGTTGTGCAGAAGGAAAAAAAAAACAGTAATTTTCTTTTTTAGTTCTTCAAATTTTTTTATTTGGATTTTGTCTCTTAGTCCTTGAGGCTCTATATGGCATGATGACCCATTGGATTTTTGTTCGGGTTGATAATACTAATAAAATAGTTAGCGTTCTCCTCAGTATCATCTTCTTGTACTTTCTCGTTATCATTTTGCAATAATCTAATCTAAATTATCGGTAGAAAGATTCGAACCCGAATGCAGATTGAGAATATACTTATTTAGTCATGTTATAATATGAATAAAACACAGGTTTTAGATAAACACTAAATTATCGCTGTATTAATTAAATTGCTAAATAAATTTCAATGTAATTTACTTATTGCTGAAACTGTCTTAAATTTTTGTCCTTAAAAATAAAAGAATTTCGATCATAGAATTCATTGGTGGATGAGAATGAGTTTGAGAAAGGGAGAAGAAAGATGAGGTGGCGAGGCAATAATAGGTTACTTGAATTGAAAGGGAAAATTAGAAAAGCATGAAACGTGCTGCCAAATGACGCATCAAGCCCCAGAAAACTTGCCTCTAAACTAAGATTTTAAGGGTGGGAAATGTCTTAATCTCCTGCGTTGTCATCTCCATAATTTTGGACGGATCTGATATCTACATATTCTTACACATTACTGTCAGACTTATCAACGCGATCCTAGCAAATCTACTGGTCAAAGTGGAGGGCCCACCGGGACCCACTCCAAAATTTCAGCATCACATCACCTTACTCCCTCATCAACGCTACCCTGGGCCCTGCCGTACTGGATGTCTATCCCCGTGTTCAGACTGTTCAATATAATTGTGGACTCAAAAAAAGAAGAGAAGAAATAAATAAATACTCAAAGCTAATTGCTTCTGCAGGCATTCTACGTCGTCGTATTTTACGTATTTTGTGACAGTGTTCCTGTTGTTACGTCCACGCGGTTGCCAAATGCCAAGCTTTCCTTCTTCTTCACGAACCTTTCCTTGCCTTGTAGCTATGGATATATATATATATATATATATATATCATATTTTGTAGAAAATAATTAAATAGTTAATGTCCCACAGCTGTGGAACAAAAATAGTAATTAACAAAATAATTAAAATGAAGTAGGTATGGTTCATCTTCAAAGTCATGCTCTCCGAGCCCTAAAATTGAAATTTTCTCGGCACTTTCTTCACATTTTAAATGAAAATCACGCGTTGTTATCAAAACAACGATTAAATATGAGTAGAAGAATTATAAAATCATAATAGGATGGAATAGATTGGTTTATTTGTTTTTATTATGTCAGGGGCCAGGGAATATCATACCAATTCATTGGGTACAAATTTGGTTAGCAAATTTAGTAGTTGTTACAAATGAGGACAAGCAAAGAAGGAAAAAAATACTATTGTCCATGCAATTATAAGGTGGAATGATAACATTATTGTACTTTCTTACTAAAAAAAGATAAAATAATAGTTAATCTTTGAGTCAATAATTTAGAAAGCTGTGAAAAGAAGAAATGGTTGTTTGGATTTGATGAAATCTCTTTTTCAAGTATAAGAATGTAAAGATGAGATCACAAATTTAGTTCCTCCTATAATTGGTTATATTGCGCATGTAATAGGAAATAATAAAAAGAAAAAAAAGCTGAAACATACAATATTTTTAATCTTCAAAGCAATCGAAATTACAAAATTAAAGTCCCGATTCTCGACGACAACCAACTTTTGGGTTATATAAGAAAACGCAAATATATTGTATTTCGTAATAAATAAAACGTAAATCCAATGAATATTTGTGGAAACCCTTTCCCTTAATAGCTTGTACTAAAAAAAACGCAAATCCCCAACACCGAAGTTAGAGAGAAATAAGTTTAAAAGAGTTTCAGTTAAAAACATATTATTTTTTGATCCTCCTTCGTATCAATTTTTATTTATTTATTTGGAAATTGCAGTGTTGAAAAGAAAAATATGAAGAGTTGAAAGATGATCATGCTCACTTACCGAGCAAGCCATGGAGACCAAGTCCTACAGAGATAAATCTTCAGCTGCCATGTATTGGATTAAATCTTAAATAGGAAAATAAAAAGGATAGAAGCAAACAGAAAAGAAAATTCGTATGGTTATCTTTTAGAGGGAGGGACCTTGATTGAGACAGATGAGACTCTTAAATGATAAATCTGGTATTTTGATGCCTTAATTATTTGTTGGTATCCCAAAATCTCTCCATCTTTTCGCTGCTTTTTATCTCTGCAAAATGGCTCTTTCTAGAACATAAAGCTCAACTGGGTCGTTCTGATATTTTCCTCTCTCTCTCTCTCTGGTTGTTTTTGCCTTGCTTGCTCTGCTTTTCCGGGAAAGTTACTTCCATTTTTTTTTCCTTCATATTTCTGTTGCAAAACGTCTCCTTTGTTACCTTGTTTGTGCATACATCTCGAAAACTACCACAGGAAAAACCCATCAATCTCTCACTCAGAAAACTCTTTTCAAAACTTCTCTCATTTTCACCGAATTTCTTTTCCTTCGAAATTCTCGGGGAAAGCTTGTTTCTTTCTTGGAATTTCGTGGGTTTTCTGGTGGGTTTGATTCAGCTTGAAGGGTTAACGTTGAATTGTCGTGACTTGATCAAGGACAAGTCCGTATCTTGAAAATCTACCAAACCAGAACCGGCTTGAGTTTTCTTTAAGGTTAGTGAAAGGAAGAAAAAAAAGAGAGTCAGGAATTAGAAAAACCAAGAAACAAGTGTAGAGAATTGAGTTTGTTTTCTCTGTCCGTGTCTGGAGAATTGGCCGGAATTTAAATTCTGGGGAGAACGGAAATCAGTTGGGAATTGATAGCATTGCCAGCGAAGACTCTCTGTGAAAAAATAACAGAGGTGAGAAGACTTAGTACTTAGAGTTGCCCGTGAATTTTTCTGTCGAAACGTCAAAAAATAGAAGTCTTTCGTAGGCCCATTTCGCATTTTTGCCATTTTCTTTGTCTCTCTGTTTTCTAGGGAAATCAAATTCCGACAATCAGTCTCTCCCTTTCCCATTTCTCTCTCTCTCTCTCTCTCTCTCCCTCTCTCTCTCTCTCCTCTGTTTTTCTCTTTCTGTTTTTATAAGGTTCGCTCTGTTTTTCGGGTTGGGGTGAGAGAAATCTTTTTTGTTTTTGTTTCTCTCTCTCTCTCTCTGATTCAGGGTGAGCGAAAATCTCCAAGTTCGCTCTCTCCCCCCCTCCCCCTCTCTATCTCTCTCTCCATCTCTCTCTCTCTTTTTTAAAAGAATCACAGATAAAAAAAATATGATTTTGGACAAAGGGTCAATGCAATCAAACCTTGAGTGCTTCCTCCATTGTACAACACCAGTGCTCCAATCCCAATTCCTACCCAAGGTTTGCAATTTTCTCCCTTTTTCTGTTTCTGGGTTGTTTGTAAATGATTGATTTTTCATCAAATTGCATGCTGATTTTGTTTTCTTGAACATGTTGGTATTGATGATCGTGCTGCAGTCTGAGATTAGGAACCTCAACCGTATATGGCACCCATGGGAGAGAGAAAAGGTTGAGTATTTCACATTGAGTGATCTCTGGAATTGTTATGATGAATGGAGTGCATATGGTGCTGGAGTTCCTATTGCCTTGGACAGCGGCGAGACCCTTGTGCAGTACTATGTGCCTTATCTCTCTGCTATTCAAATTTTCACCAGCAATTCATCTGTGAATAGCTTCAGGTATCAATTTCAGTTTTCACACATGCAATTCTCCCTGTGGGTTTTACTTATATCTGAGGTTGAATTACATTTGTAGTAGCTGTGCCTGCTTGGTTTGGTAATCTAATTGTTGGGGTGATCAAATTTGTAAAATGCTGGTTTTGATTGGCTCAAAACCAATATGGCATCATTCAAGTTTTTTTTCTTGTTCGAAAGCATCGTGTTCGAGTTTGTTATCTGTGTGGCTATTGTGTATCTGGTGGTGTTTTTGGATGTGCTGTACCATTGAAATGCTTAGATTCAGATATTGGTTAGTTGGACAACATTGATTTGGTAATACATGCTCTTCTGATATGGTTTACTTATTCCAACTTTATATAATTTACAATTGAATTAGGTATCTGTGTTTCTTAAACACCTGCAATGGCAAAATCACATTTAAATAAGTTTTTCAGGGAAGAGGCCGAATCGGGTGACTGTGAGACAAGGGATTCGTTTAGTGATTCATGTAGTTTTGAGAGTGAAAGTGATAAATGGAGATGGGATGGATGCTCCTCAGAAGATGGTGGGTTTGAGCAAGACAATCTCTGGCATGTGAATGATAGATTAGGGCACCTATATTTCGAGTATTTTGAGAGATCAACTCCCTATGGAAGAGTTCCTCTCATGGATAAGGTACCCTTTTTTTAGTTCATAAACCTTACTTTGTAGCTTTCTATTTTTCTCATTCTTTCGGTTTGATTTGTGTCTTATCTGCTTACCCTTTTTCTCCTTAACAAGATGGATTAAACATAAGAGTAATCAAAACATTAATGGATTTGTTATAGTCATCTGACTACTTTCTCCTGTTTGTTAGGTATCTAAACTTTAGACCCTAAATATTAAAATTGATATGTCCCTTTAATGATTATTCCTCCTCTCTCTCTCTCTCTCTCTCTCTCTCTCTCTCATTTGTCTTGAGAATATGTTCTTGTATTTTAACTATCATTTGTCTTCATGAGAATATGTTCTTGCCTTGAATGTTCTTTTCTCTTTTTGACTTTTACTGTTTTGGAAGAAGAATGTATGATTCCCTTCAAGACATGAATATTTTTTTGGATGGTTGTGAAAACTAATGCTGATTCGCTTCTCAGGTTCCGTTTTACTATCCGTATAATAAAAGCATATGGATTTGATTGACACTTTGTTCGTTCTACACTTTCAGATCAATACATTAGCTCAAAGATACCCTGGCTTGATGTCATTGAGGAGTGTTGATCTATCACCAGCTAGTTGGATGGCTGTTGCTTGGTATCTCTCTCTCTCTCTCTCTCTCTCTCTCTCTCTCTCCCCCCATGCACGCCTGAACACATGACACCCAAATAAATAACTACATTGAAGCAGAGTAGTAAAGCATGCTTCTCTTTCGACCAAAAAAAAAGCATGCTTCTCAACCTTTTCATTTTGTTGCTTCATAGCGCAGAGTGTGCAACACTTAGGAAAATCAGTCCCACATCAGCTTTAATTATGCTTTGTAGAGAATAATTACTGCTTGTAATACCCAACAAATGACTAATTACACACATTAGCATGTTCCCTTATTAATAGAAATTCATATTTATTTTTAACATTGTCAATGTGATTATTTTCAGGTACCCAATTTATCACATTCCCATGGGAAGGACAATAAAGGATCTGTCCACGTCCTTCCTCACTTACCACACCCTTTCATCTTCTTTTCAAGGTATTCTCTCAGTCCATTTCACTTTGTTTGTTTCTATGTTCATGCCATTTTCACCTTAAATATCTAAATTCTCAGAAAGCTATATGCACAATATTGAACTAACACTACATGATGCTTTCTGTGTAGACATGGACCTCGAGGACGATATGGAGAGCGATGAACAAAGAAAGCGAAAGAAAGGGGACAGCATCTCTCTCCCTCCATTTGGCTTGGCCACTTACAAGATGCAAGGGAATGTGTGGGTCTCAGGCAATTGTGGAAGGGACCAAGAAAGGCTCATGTCACTATTGAGCGTGGCTGATTCATGGCTAAAGCAACTTAGGGTCCAGCACCACGACTACAACTACTTCACGGCCATTCGGCGTGGTGGCCAGTGCCACTACTTTTGAAAGAGAAAAAGAAGAAGAAGAAAAAAACTCGAAAGTGATTGACCACGCTAAAATCCTCACTTTGGATAATTTGGTTTTTGTTGACCCTTGTTTTGGAGTAAATTGGCTACAAGTCTTGAGGATTTTGTGGTTGATTTCTTCTTCGTGACGCACGTAATTGGTTATTGATAGGGTGTTTTAGTGTTCATCCCCATGTATGAGATAAGTAGAGGATATGTGATGACTTTGACTCCTTTTGTTGGGCCTTTTGTATTTAGTTAGTAGGGAGAGATGGGTGAGGTTAGAGAGAGGCGCTTGAATTATGAGTTTATAATAGTGCTTTCTGTAAATTATATTCCCTTGACCATTTTATATATAAAAAAAAACCTATGGGAGATTAGGAAAATGCCTTCTAGTCCTGGTCCTGCAACTTTTATTTTTATTTTTATATATAATTTTTAATTTTCTTTTTCTACAAATGTGCCAAATATGTGATCATTTCTCATGAGTCCATGACCACATATTGGTTGGCACACTAGTCTTGGTCTCTCTCTCTCTGTGGGAAAAGAAAAAGTACAAATGGCAGAGTCTTAGAAGTAGAAACTAATAATGCTCATATGGGGATTTGTGGATAATCTGAGTTACAAAACTAGAGAAGTGGGGTCCATGACACTTTCTGGCCTTGAAAAGGTTGCCTTCACTTGCGGTGTTTCCGTCATCCTATGTGCTCGCGGCCATTGAACACCCGATAGGTCATCAAGGTGTTGTTTTTAGTCGATTGGTTCCTCCATGATATTTAATTTAATATTTGGGTTAAAGAGTCATCATCAAGGCGCAATAAAATGTTTGATCTCACCCTGTCAATTTGTGGAAAATTGAATCATTCATTTTCTTTTGGTCAGGGTTGTGATTACCATACAACAAAGTTGACCACAATTTTGGGAGTTGTTTGGGGGTTGGAATTAGATCAGCAAGGTGAATTTATATTAAGTATTAGGTATTTAATTAATGATTTTTTTTAATATAATAATGCTATTAACAAACGTTTTAGGACATAAATAAATATAATCCAAAGAGCTAGTGGCATTTTTCTGTCATGCTTTTTGAGATAGATATAAGCCTATAGGATAGGACCAGACCTGAGAATGGTGCGGCAGGAATTGTGGTAGCTATTGCCTAAAGGCATTGAGACCAAAACATTCTAACTAGCTTACCGTGTGAAAAGAATGTTTGGCTGGCTACAAGCCTAGAAGAACTCTCTTTCTCTTGGATGTCCAAGTCTCTAGTGGGAAGCAGGAGGGTTATAGCTTTATTAGTGTCCTAAAAGCCAAATGCAATTCACCTTTAATTTGTCATACAACTTTTTTATTTTTCATTAAAAAAAAAAAATAATTGTACAGAGTGAGAAATTCAACTCAGATTCAATGGAGCGGATACAATATTTTGATCAACTGGCCTATCCCCATATTAATAGATTTAAAATAATATACTAATTTACTCAAGCTCTAGCTAGGAGGAACTATTTAGGGTTTAAGTGTTTTGAATGCCATTAGCTAGTGCTCCATTGCTTATCTCTTTATATCCCCATGCCATCCAATAATGCACAAGACCTAAATCATAAAATATAAAAAATTGGACAATGAACCCACGCTTCCATTTCATCAACCCAAATTCAGATTTATGAAATTATTTATTGTATTGTACATGGCACATGTACAATGTTAGTGGTTTCTAAGACAATCCCATTGACTAAGAGGAGGAGGGCTCTTTTTTTAGTGCAACCGACTATGTGATCCACTTATTAGGTTTTTGGTTGACAAAGTGGAAAATTCCAAACTTCACCATCTTATCTAGACAAAGAACGTCATTGATCTTAAAAGTGCAACCACTAACCATGCATATATATATATATATATATATTTGTAGTTTTGTGTTGTGTTGTGAACTGAAATAAATATACAAGGACTTTGGAGCCCAACTACCAACAAACATCAAATTGCACTACGCATGGGCATTCTCCATTGGGGCTTTGTTTTGGTTCGACAGACATTGATCATGGATGGATTTGCTGTATTGCACTTGGGATGTTCACTTCACTAAATTTGATGATCCATTTGACATTATAATAGCTTGCCACATGCCATGCTAAGAACTTCTCTCCTTTCAACGAGACATTAAACTTGTAATATAACCACATCTAAACTACTATTTTCGCACGTTTAAATGTGTGGATCAAATTCATATTCTAACAAATTGAGCATTTATTTGACAATTTAAGTTTCGCAAGTGACAACTTCTCTAGTTTTAAAGAATTTGTTGTGTTTCGGTAATTTTTTAAAAGATACGCACTGTTATACAATATTCTCTTCTCTCTCGAGTTTGTAGAGAGTAAAAACCCTAGAGACTAACAGCAGTTGCAGCCTCCTTTGGGGATCGGTGGGTTCTCCACGCCCCCTTTTTTCCCTCTCCTCTCTCTCCATTGTCGTTTCTCTAACTCTCTCTCCCTCCTCCAGTCTTCCCTCCCTCATTTTTAGGGAGACTTTTGGAGTTGAGATCCATTTGGATCTTGGATCCTCTTGCCTAGATTTGTTTGGATCTTGGAATTTGTTTTGTGTGTTTTTGTTGTAGGTTCTTGGTGGATTTAGGTTGTTGTTGGATCTTTTACTTGATTCTGTTGTCTCTGGGATGGATGGGTTGTGGTAGTTGTCGACCCAGCTTCTTTTGTTTTGTTGTGTTGTTGAAGCAGTCACTGCAAATCACTGTAGTCACCATGATGTAGTTTCTGCTTGGTCCACGCACATAAGGTTTTTCTACAGTTCTGGATTTGGAGCTACAAAAATGAAAGTTGACGGTTTGTGTTGGATTGGGTTTTGCCTGTGCGGCACTATGGGTTTAGCAGGTATGGCGCTACAAGTCTTTTCGGTTTGTCGGAGAGGACGTGGAGTGGTGTTCTTGTTTCTTTGTTTGTTGTAGTCTAATAATTCTAAAAAACTCTTTAGGAGTTTGTTGAAGTTTATATTTTACTTTTCGACTTTTTGATACGGATTTTCCATTTCTGCTGTTGCACAGTGGATCTGTATTGCAAGTCTGAGTATGAGTGCTTTTGTCTGCCGAATCAGAGTTTTAAGGCTTTTTATGTTTATGCGTAATTCTCTTCGGATTAAACCAAATTATATTTGTGTTTGGTCACTAGAGATATTGTACTCATATTTGTTACTATGACTGCTCTGTACTTTTTTTCTATTTTTATCAATAAATCACTATCCCTTTTTCTATAATAAAAAAAGAAAAGAAATTGTTGTGTTTTATGAGTATCTCGAGTGCAAATATGTTCAAAGTTCGATATCATCACGGTATCACCTACTAATATTAATGATTCCAAGTACAAATTATATTATATTTTTCATGTATAGTACATGTTCAAGTATAACTAAGAACTTTCTCAATTTTGCACATGGAATCAAATTTGTTTCTTTGGCAAATCGAATATAAATATTATGCTCTTAGATCAAATTTGTTCATTTGTGTATCGTACGTATAAGTTGAAAGCTAGTAAATAATTGGTTTCCATAAGATGGCTGTTGATTTTGTCAAGTAGACATTACTCTAAAGTTGTGTTTTGTCCAATGTTTTCAAAGGCGAGGCGTTTTTAGTAGCGCTATGCAAGGCTTAAGCCTTGAAGCATTGAGGCGTAAGCCTTTTGAACATTAAGTTATTTTAATAAGAAAAGTTTATGAATAATACAATACGATTAAATTGTACAACTAATTCTTATTCAACCATAACAATCTTTTAAATATAATCAAATATAAGTACTAATTGTCATTCAAAACATAATAATCAATCCCAAAACATAAAATATTTATTCAATATATATTTATTCAAAATGAAGAGAATTCTTGAAATTGATGGAGTTATTTGGTAAGGGTAGAAATTAGGGTTGTACACGTACTATACAATATATATAAAGTCCATGTGTTAATATATTAATTTAGAGAAAGAAAGAAAAAAAAAGAAAAAAGAAGGTAAGTACAAAAGCTACAGCCGGTTGGAGTTAGGAAAGAATAAGAAAGATATTAATTCTTGCCTATTACAATAAAGGTTGTTTTTAAAATGATATTAAGAAAGATACAGCCGGTTGGACTTAAGAAAGATATTAATTTTTATTTTTCAACACCCTCCAAGTGAAACGACGTCGTTTCATTATAAGATTGTTTTTAAAACACTGCAACCAAAACGACGTCGTTTACAAATTAAAAAAAAAAAAAAAAAAAAAAAAAAAAAAAAAGTCGTCTTCCTCGCAGAAAATTTGCAGACTTTCAATTTCTTCCAGATCGAGTCGTTTCCAGATCTGCAACGCCTTCTCACGCCTTGCTCCGCCTTCTCACGTCTTGCAACGCCTTCCCAGCGCTAAACGTGCAACTCGCGAAACAGCCGACCGCCTCGGGCGTTTTCCTCCCGCCTCGCGCCGACGCGCGCTCCGGCGCGAGCAAAGGCATACTTTTGAAAACACTAGTTTTGGCAAACGATGGTGATTGATGAACAGCTTCTATTTTGGACTTGTGAAAATCATAAAACACCCAATTGAGGGAGGCCTTACAGGGCTTTTAGCCTGCAGCTTGGTGGGTTGAGCACAGCCCAGCAATGGTTGAATAAAACCTTATTTTGAGATTCCTATTGCACCCATCAATTTGATCAATGCACCCTCAGCAGCTTCTTCCATTCAACCTCACTTATCTCCTTCCCACTTATGGTTTGTGTCATCATCGTTAGGTCGAACCTTTGATTCAGTGGATACTGCACAATTGGAATAATGAGAAATGCATTAAAATTCTGAAGAATTGTCGCGAAGCTATCTCTGAGAAAATTGGGAAGGGGTTATTGTAGATTGGAAAAATCTCATGAGACGTGAGAGGAGATATTGAAGGTGAGGCGATTTGTGCTGCAATTTGAGACAAGGTCTTGGCCATGAGAGTTTATGATGTCTGCAATGCCAAGCTCCACAGCACACTTCAAGGCCG